ACTTTGCAAGTGCCAGAGCGGAAAAGATCAGAGTCGAGTGGGTGCATATATATAATTCACGCGTTTTGTCTCACCACCGTACCTATGGCACGCAAAAAAAAGAAAGATAAGAAGAATATGTATCTCCTTTAAATGACAGCAAGTGGCCTAAAACCTGCATCGCGCAGGGCAGTCGCAATGCAAGATTTTGCACAATGCTTTTTTGGTACAAACTGCTACCCCAAAGTACGTTCCATCAGAAACTGTAGTTTTACTGCGTCCGCGCTAGAAGCGCGCGAAGTTCGCCCAAGGCCGGCCCAAGAGTCAGTGGCTTTGTGGAAACTGTATTTCCCCAGATAACGTGAGCTATTGGGGTTCTTACTTCAAGTATAGGAGGAGCTGCATGTGTGCATTTTCGAGCCTGGGTGCTGGTGCCGCTGCAGGGTCCCGCTGCTGTTCCACTAATGGAAGAGCTATTTCTCGAGTTTGTGCGCTAGTGCCGCTGCAGGGTGCCGCTGTTGTGTGCGCGTGGGAGCTTGGGCGCTGGTGCCGCTCCTGTGCGCGCCGCCGCTGCTGTGTGCGCTTGGGAGCTTGGGTGCTGGTGGCGGTGGAGGGGCTGCTGAGTGTCATGCTGGCCACAAATATTTGTTGCTATTTGGGGTCTATGCTGGCATACTTTTGAACAACGTTTTGGGGGGTCAAGAGGCACACCTTTTGGCATGCAAGAGAACATACTGTATATGTATATAGATTATTGAGATGTCACAAAATACACTTTTGCAATCTTTTGCAACAATTGCCTTTGACATAACTCTGTGCCCATGAAATGGTATATGAGATGGATGCTGGCTGGATGCCGACCTGCAAGTCGGTGGTCCAGTGCTTGGACATTGCTGATGCGGCGGCGAATTCTCGTTTGTATCAGTCCTGCCTCCTTGTGAGTCGGCAGGAGGAACAGGCAATGGATAGATTTGCCAAAGTTGCTGAAGGCTCTGGTGCTGCTTGGCGCACTCGAATTTGTTCAGATTGGTTTTGGTGTGCAGTTCACGTGAAGTATCTTGGAATATTTTTCTTGGTTTCCTGCGATTGACAATTGAGATCAATTGAGGTGGTTGCTGCAGTCTTACTAGATCCTGATGGTGATGCTGCCGGGCGTCATGGACCCAGCGTGAGAGCCTTCATGAGCTCAAATGAAGTTAAGAGATGCCGGTAGGGCCACGTTTGAAGCAGCATTTTGATTTTGGCTACCAGTTCTACAAAAATACCTGTCGATTTGAGGATAAGACCTGACCAGTTGTGCAAATATTTGAAGTAACAATAACATACAATAACGATATATATATATATATGTGTGTATATATATGTTGATACATCCTTGGATTCTGCTTTTTTGTGGTGAATATGTGGAAACCTCGCTCTTTGGGCAGGCTTCGGCCACGCCGGTGCTTGCCGTGCCATGGCCTCCATGATGGCCAGGCAGTCCTTGCTGGGCAGTTGATTGTTCTGATTGCAAAACCAGCCGCATTTCTTTGTAAATCTACCTTGCCATGGCCATACCACCCGTTTTGGTCATTCTTCCACAACTCCATTTCTTCAAGAATATGTTCCAGAGCCAGAGCCGGAAAAGCCATTTCTTTGGCAAATCTATGCTGATCCGCTCCCTTCCAGCATCTTCCAGCCCGTGTTTGGTGGCCTTCTTGCCAGACATGTGCGGCCACTGAAGCGATCGCGCCGGCTGCTTGGTAGACAGAGGCGGCGAAGACCAGGCACGAATTGACCCAGTGCCAAGCCATCGAGCCAAGCTCTCTAAGCTCATCAATCTCATGGCCACTCAGGCGCACGCGAAGGGTGGACGCCGCAGAAGGAATCACCTTCCAGACCGTCAGCCACTTGTTTTCAAGCAAGTTGTTGCGTGGGTTACACTTGCGCCAGCAGAACCTATATAACCTGGACATATTGAGTCACGTATAGTCACGTAATTACACTTGCAGGTCATATCATCCCGTACTATCGTACTGTGTGATGTCATACAGTGACATGCATGGTGGTACAACTTCAAGCACCATTGTTGCTTGAGGATGAAGAGTTGGAAAGGCCATCAGCATCGCCTGTCGACATGGGAGTTACGAGCCTTTGTGGCGTGGACTTCTTTGGCCGCAGCAAGGCCTGCGGGTCATGGGGTCACGACGGGACAAGGGGCGCAAGTGGGGGTGATCCTCGTGACAAGGCATGGATGGGTCCAGCATGCTATATTATACCGTACGATGCTGTGCATTCTTTTTGGGGGGGTGGTAGTTTCGTACATACTTGATCATCATGGTATGGAATGTGGAACATCAGCTCGGACATGAAATGCATCACATTCAGAAACTTGTTTATTCTGTGCAGGCACGTTTTTAAACTTTAATCCAATTCCTGCGCCAGACAAGATTTGTTCTGTGTGAATGGGACTCAGTTGTTTCAGGAAAAGCTGGACATGTCGAGTTGGATGGCTCCCTTGCCAGAGCAGCTGCCGATCTCCCAGGCGGATGTGGGGACGTTGGTTTCTGCATCATACTTGCTTTATCTTGCTTTAATGTGTTTCATAAACTTTCAAGGAGAAGTTCGCAGGTCTCCATCCCTGGCACGCATGACTCTGCCACATTTCAGATGTGGCCATTGCCCGTGAGCTGGGCGGCTTGGACACAGTTTCGCCCGATGTGCATGCTCACAGGTGACCTTGGTGTTTGCTTAGTTCAGCACAAGCCACTACACGTTCACCATGCCAGAGGAGTTCCATTTGCTCAACATGGTTATTATATGTGGACTTATCATGATTAATTTGGCTGCTAGGGAGATGTCTGTGTGGTTCTTATAGTTCAGAGTGAGATGGTCTTGGATGGGCTTCGTCTCAAGGAATACATGTGGGCCTTTGGGCAGACGCAGGATTGGGATTTGCCCACACAACTGGCAGCAGGCAAGCCCTAAGTGAGAACGCTGCACAGACTCCCATGAAAGCTATCAAGGTGTCAACGTTCAGGGTTCCTTCACCACTCAATCGGTTCAAAGGATATTGGCATGCCCTCTTGGAGCAACTGCAACTTTGGCACAGCCCTTGAGATTATCCTTTTTTCAAATCTCCGCAAACTAGAACTTGCAGTTGCATCCTGAACTCTTTAACTTTAGTCTCTACATGTTGTTTAAACTATTGCATCCTGAGATGAAAGCATTATATATATTGAGGGAGAGAGAGGGAGCCTTTCTTGGTCGTCGCTGCGCTGCCAGGTGTGCGCTTTTTCGACCTGCGGGTGAAGGCTGACGGGTGGTTGCGACTTGGCTTGCGAAAGTTGGTGATTGGAGATAGATTGGATCAGTGCTAGTTCTGCTTGTCAGCTGCTTAGTCTATCAAAGTCAATTGCAACAGTATGTATACGGTATGTTGGCAGTGCTTTGCCAACGTCATCGCGGGATTTTGGGTTTCAGGGTCCACATTCCAAAACAGCCAACTCAGATCCCTCAGATGCTATAATTTGGCTTTCCCTAAGGGATATGTTTTTCGAAACCCTTTTCAGGACGTTGGCCAAGGTATCATGGCCCAATGGCCTGCTCATTGACTTTGGAGGCTGCACTACAGACTTGTGCGGCCTTTCTTGAAGAGCACCCCAGCGAGTTCCTTCTCCTGCGACCCTTGGACGGTCGTTGGGCACATTGTGGTGGAGAGGAGAATAGATATTAAACATAGGACACAACTTGCTTTCACGGCTTGAGTTTCGTTAATGCATGATGGCCCCTTGCTTTTTGCATTCTTAGATGCTTGTCACGTTCTTTGACACTTTTTGCGGCCCTAAGAGCCCGCAAGCTCAACCAGAGACTGCGATCTAAAGCCTGCCGGCACAAAGAAGCAACTAGAAGGGCATCCAAAGTGCCAAGTTCCACACGAGCTCCCATCTAAGGAATAAAAGATGAAGAGCGAAGCCGCACGTCTGCTGAGAAAGTACCAGACCTTGTGAAGAAGCTCGCTAAGTACTTGCCTCTTCACTTCAGCCGCTTGGCCACGAGTTTTGATTTTGATGATGCAAAGGCTGCGAAAGGTTCTTCAAAGACTAAAAAGCTTGTGACCTGCCCCTTGGGGGCCGGAGCTTGCTTGCAGAACCCAAGCATATCCAAGTTTGATTCTGCGTGTTGCATCCAGTTGCTTCCTGTTACTTATTCTTTTGAAATTCTTTACGCAGGGTGATTTTATGGGTGATCTTTTTTTTGTTGTGTGTGTTTTTTTGTGATTAGGTGGCCTTGGTGGCTTTTGGCTTCTGTGTGGCTTTTGTGGCTTCTGGCTTCCGTGGATTTTGTGGCTTTTGTGGCTTCTGGCTTTTGTGGCTTTTGGCTTCTGTGTGGGTTTTGGGTTGTATGATGTTGTATGGCTTTTGTGGCTTTTGGCTTCTGTGTGGGTTTTGATGACTTTACTGCTTTTCTAGTCAAAATCTCTACTTTTGATGCCTTTCCATTAAAACCTTTACTTTTGACAACTTTTCTCCTGAAACATATTTCATGACTTGTCTACTGAATTCTCTGCTCTTGATGACTTTACTAGTCACCTAGTCAACATCTCTCATTTTGACCCATTACAATCGCTACTGTTGATAACAGTGTTGATAACTTTTCTGGTAAAATCACTATCTGACTATCTTTTAATACCTTTATATAATTGTTTGATGAGTTTTCTATTGCATTCTTTGCTTTTGGATGGCTCTTCTAGACAACATGTATACTTGCAATGGCTTTTCCATTGAGAGCCACACAGACCACAAAAAAACACAAATAACAAAAGGAAACAGTGAATTCCAAATTACGACCCAAATTCTTTACTGTTATATAGCTGCCTCCTACCCACCCATCCAACAGCCTTAGTAGCCCCAAAGGAAGATGAATAATTGGAAGAACCAAACAACATACACAGTTCTTAAAGCACACTGAGTTTCTTTGTGAGGCCGTGATCTGCAATTGGTGGGTGACATGCGCGGACGAATGTTGGTCCTACAAGACTGGCACGGCAGTGAGTGGTCCCTGCGGTGGGCTGGGCCCGCCATGAAGGTGCAAGACTTTTGGAGTCCAGGCGAACTCCAAGCAAAGAGTCGCACGATGTTGAACGCAGTTCAAGAAACAAACTTGGCAACCATTGACCTTGGGGCCTGTCGGGGCTCTTAGGGACCGCTACCAGGAAAGATTGTGGAGGTCGCTGCACCTTTGGCCCAGGCTCGCCCAAAGAGAAGTGGGTTGCCATTCGGAAGCACCTGCGAGGAGCACCAAGACGGCAAGGCTGGCGGCATTTGTTTATTGTGGGAAACACATGATTTGAAGATTTCACTGATCAGCCTGTTTTTCTACTGTGTTCTGACTCCATTCTGACACGCTGCAGGTGACAGGCTTTGCGCCAACTTTGTCAGCGCACAGTCACTAAGCCCAAGATGCTGCCCAGCTGTGCATGATGTTGTCTACAGTGGGCTTTGTGTTGGATTGTGAGCTGCTTTCTGGTTTGGAGCTTGGGGGTTGCATATATCTATATTATATATTTATATATAGACAGATGTCATGATGTACTCTACCGCAACCGCGTTGGCACAAGTTTTCTGGTCCAGACGCCTGGAAGAGAGACCAACACTGCCCAGCATCCCCTGTCAGAATGGACATGCTTCGAGGTGACCTTTGTTGCCTGGTTGCTGGCGTGGGGTTTGCAGTGAACTATTTGCCGGTGAAGCAGTGCGACACTGGCGATGGAATCTTTTTTTGTGCAGCCATGTCGATGGGAATCTTGTTCATTGGCTTGTTGACCGGCATGTTCTTGAGCCACACAGAAGGAATTTCCATCCCTGCCTTCGAGCCATTGGCTGCTGTGGGTGGCGCGCTATGGATGCTAGGAAACCTTATGTGCCCCCAAATAATTCAAATGATTGGTCTCGGACTTGGCTTGACCATGTGGGACTTGAGCAATATGGTGGTTGGGTGGCTAATCGGCCACTTTGGCCTTTTTGGCATAAAGAAGGACGACATTTATGAACCAACCTTGAACCTGATTGGATTGGTTTTGGCCTGCATGTCCCTGATCTTCTTCTCTATGTCATCAGTCATGAAGAATCCAGAGCCGACGAAGAATCTGGTCACCGAGAAATCCGTGACCACCAAAGCGAAAGACCAGTCCGATCAGTCCTTTGGATGTTCATCAAGCAAAGATGAACCCGACCCGGAGCGGACCCCACACGCTCCTCAAAGTGCAAAGCCCATTCAGCCCAACAATGAGCCAGAGCATTCATGCATGTCTGAGCCTGAGCTTGCCCATCCACGATTGCGCAGTTTTTCCAGAGACCTTGAAGCTGGAGATGAAGTTTCTCAAAAGATCACGCTGCATGATGAACAAGCCGTTGCAGCTGAGCAAACCTTCTTGCAGCTCTTCTTGGGTTCATTCATGTCCATCGCTGCTGGTGTGCTGTTTGGGACTACCTTCGTGCTGCCAGTTGCTCTGAAGGAGGGGAGCCTTGGAGGTCATCACAGCCCTTACATTATGGACTATGTTTTTAGCCACTTTATTGGGATTTTTATGACCTCCAGCACCGCTTTGACCATCTATGTGGCCATAAGACAGAAGAAAAGCTACATGCCTTGCAACATCATAGTTCCGGCCATATGGTCTGGGATGATTTGGGGCGTTGCTCAGGTAGCCTGGTTTCAAGCCAACTTGGACTTGGGCTTTTCCGTGGCCTTCCCAGTGATTGCAAGCCTGCCAGGGATCATCGGCCTGGCCATTGGCGTATGTTGCTTCAAAGAGGTGGAGGGCTTTTCGGCCCGCGTTCTGGCTGGGCTGGGCTTACTTCTTCGGATTCCGGGTGTTGTTCTCATTGCAGTCTCAGCATGATGCTGCAGAACCGCAAGATTATGACTAGGATTTTCCATTTTCCTTCCCTTGATCGGCTGCCCGTGTGGCTTTTGCATGGAGTTGGCTAAGAGGAGCACCGATAGTAGTACCGTGGTAAACTAAATTAATCGGCATGTAGATGTGCTGTGCTTTACCGTTCTACCTGCCTCCCGGCCATATCTTAAACATTTTGAATCCACAAGACGACAGAACAGCACGCCTGCTTTGAAACACAAGCTTCTTACTTTATATGACTGTCGCCCCGAATTTAAAGACGGTCACCCTTCCGGTTTGAATCCGCAGCTTCTCGGCTTTGCGCGGCAGGCATATGGCACACGAGTTTGAAAATTGCTCGTGTGTCCTTTGCTTGTCCCTGCGCCGGGTGTACAACCTCCTGTACGCGGAGGAGGCTACGGGAGCCCTTCAACGAAAGGGCATTGAGTTGCTGCGGTCCCGATCTCCCGACTGGGGGAGAGAGTGGAACAAAGGAGATCAAGCAGGAGCCCATTGGCGAGGAGAAGGAGGTCCCGGAGAAGAAGAGCAAGGTAGAGGCAGTGGAGGCCCCTACGGAAAAGGCGAAGCCCAGTCCATCCAAAGATCGCGCACCAGACACTTGTACAGAGAAAGCTTCAGAGGACACAATTGAGAGAGCTTCAACCGCCCGAGAAAGTGCCCCTAGCAGAAAGGAGAAGAAAAGGTCGTCACGAGATCGAGATCGTCGCCGTCGTCGAGACAAAGAGGAAGAAGTGGCCGAGGGAGCTGACAAGCGCTCCCGTAGTCGACAGCGGAGAAGGCAGCGCCGTGATGCGCCGTGCGTCCAGCAAGGCGAAAAGCCCTGAGAAGGGGCAGCCCGTGAGCCATTCCCCCTCCCGAGGAAAAGAAGGGGAGGAGTCCAGGGACAGGAGGTCCCCCCATACACCAAGCCAGAGCCCGTTCCGTCGCTCGCCAAAGGGATCGTTGCCATCCTGTCCATCCGGGCTTACAAACGCCCAGAAGAGAGCGATCCCTCCTCCACCAAAGCCACCACCAGTTCGGTCCCCCAGAGAGCCGGACTATCCACCCCCGGGGTATTCCAGTTGGGCTGAAACAGACGTCCGGTCCAAGTCCCAAGCCTATGACCCGCCTCCCAACAAGGGAAAGAAGAAGGACGAGCGCAACCACAACCTTAGATTGTGGCGTGAGTACGAAAGGGGCTACTACTGAGCAAGATGCCGCCTCGCCGGAGACCGGCAGCGGACTATGCCCGGGGACGTGTGGGGGCCCTTCGCAGACCAGCAGCAGTGGAGCCACCGGAGGCACATGGCTCCCGAGAACCCGAATGGGAGCCGTTGAGCAAGAGTGTGATGTGATGCCTTCTTTTTATTTTTATTTCTTTTAAAATTGGCAGCAGCCAGCCGGAGCGACAGTCATTTGTCTCTGTGGCGCTGGCTTCGACCCCCCCCTTGCCACCATGAGCATGGGGGATCGTAATGCGCAGCCAGCGGGCCAGGTATACATTAGGACTTTCGCCGCTGGCTCCACATTTCGTTCCCCCATGCTCATGGCGGCGACCCCCCCCCTAGAGGCCAGCCAGAAAAGTGGAAATGAGTGCTCTGGCCGCTGGCGGTTGGACATGTTTTTTATTTTTTATATATATTTTTCAAATTAGGTAATGACATTTGTCATTTGCCCGCTGGCGGCTCGGCGCCGGTAGGAGCCAGTGGCAAATCCGCGAAAAGTCATTTGCAGGCGCCGGCGGCTACTAATGACTGTGTCATTTTCTCATAATTGGCAGCTATGCCTGTTGATATTCTCAGTTCTTGTGATATTTGTTTTAGCTTCTGGCTCCAAAAACTTTTGTCCACAGTTTCAGCCCTATGGTTTTGCTTCCTTGATTTTCTTCACAAAAATTTGTAATCCACAGCTTTAGTCATCAGCTCTTGTTTCCTTTGGATCTCTCACAAAAAAATTGTCCATAGTTTTAGTCATTCGGTTTTGCTTGTTTAATTGCCTTCACCAAAGTGTTTGACCACAGTTTTTGACATTTCTTCAATTCACTCACCAAAACTTCTGTCCACAGTTTTAGTCATGAGGGTTTGTTTCTTCAATGTCCTTCACCAAAAACTTTTGTCCACAGTTTCAGTCGCATTCTTTCTTTCAACTCTCTCACGAAAAAATATTCCACTGTGTCGGTCCTTTGGTTTTGCTTCTTTAGTTTCCTTCACGAAATGGTTTGGTCCACAGCTTTCGTCATCAGATTTTGTTTCCTTCAGTTCCCTCGCCAATGCGTTCCTTCGCCAAAAAATTGTCCACAATCTTACTCATCAATTTTTTTCCTTCAGCTCCCTCACCGCAAATTTCGCCCACAGCTTTCGTCCTGTGGTTGTTTCCTTAAATTGATTCACCAAAATTTTGGTCCACAGCTTTAGTCATCAGATTTTGTTTCCTTCAATTCCCTCATCAAGAAATTGGTCCGCAGTTTAAATCATTAGGCTCTATTCCCCAAACAGTTTGGACATACTGAGGGGTTTTTACGGTAGTAGAAGCGTAGCTGATGCTTAGATCGCTGAAGCGCGCGGCCGTGTCCGGCTAATTCGTTGCTAGTTTCATGCCTCTCGACATCGTCAATGTGCATTTCGACTGCGCAGGCTCACAAAGTCTGGGTGCCCTGGGCGGGTGCTTCTAACGACTGCGCTCTCGTTGTGGTGTCGCGCGCATTTCCACGCATGAAGGTCACTTTTCGTGGCAGGCGCAAGGGAAACCTCGTGTTTTCGTGCTTCAAATTCGACTTTTCGTGACAGGCCCAGGGGATCGGAGCTGTTTTAATTCGAAATGCAGTTTTCGTGGCAGGCGCAGCAGATTGGACATGGTGGTGATCGTCGAGGAGCTCAGGTTTCGTGACAGGTGCAGTGAATCGCAACTTTTGGACATGTAGCACTTGGTGAACGAGTTTTCGTGGCAAGCACAGCGCTTTGTGAACCTCGAAGTGTTAGATTTCGTGGCGCGCGGCGCAGCTCTTTAGAACCTCGAAGTGCAGATTTCGTGGCAGGCACCTCGAAGTGACAGCACTTAACCTCGAAGTGCAGATTTCGTGGCAGGTACAGCACTTGCTGAACCTCGACGTGCAGACTTCATGACAGGCGCAGCACTTTGTGAACCTCGACGCGCAGATTTCCTGACAGGTGCAGCGCTTTGTGACCCTCGATGCGCAGAGTTCGTGACAGGCACAGCACTTTGCGAACCTCCATGTGCAGATTTGGTGGCAGGCACAGCACTTTGGGAACCTCGACGTGCAGATTTCGTGGCAGGCACTGGAGACTTCGTGATTCGTGCTGTCAGATGCTCACTCTCTCACTCACCCCCACTCCCACTCACACTCGCATTCACACTCCCACTCACTCACACTCACATTCACACTCAAATTCACACTCACACTCACTCACTCTCCCACTCCCACTCAGACTCACACTCCGTCACATTCGCACTCACACTCACATCACCCACGCACACTTTCACTCTCACACTCACTCTCACACTCGCACTCACTCACCCCACACTCACTCA